ATGCGTTCATTTTCCAATTTTCCAATTCTCCACTGTTTACACATTGTTGAAGAAGACCCCTAAGTTTGACCTTAAGGCCTTTTATCGAGTCCATAATTATAGTTTTATAGGTTCTATCATCGTCTAATGCCTCTAACATTTTCTCTACATAATCAGTCATAACCATAACTATTACTGATCCTCCTTTATCTGTCCTTAATACTTATTGCTAATTCGCCTTAAGCTTCCTTATAATAGTATTAACTGCCCTATTCTTATATGGTGCTTTTAAATGACCACTCATTAAGGGAAGAACTTGTAATTCACTGTCACTCCTAGTATCAATTCTACAAAAATTTCCTTTTTGACGTACTTATCATTTAGAAAGACAAAGTTTAGGTACTTTGCTATGAACTCCTCAGTAGAAATGCCCAATGAAATTCTGGACAGATTTACCACTTTTTGGTAATGGCTTTCATTACACTTCAATTCATTAGATGTGGGTCATTTCCTTGAGCAAATTCTTATACCCAAATTTCGTAAGTTTGTATTATGTGTCTTTCTAACCTGTAGAAAAAAATTTGTCATGTAAACTATCCGCTATACTCTGGAGCTTAAGGAAGTCTTCCGAACTAAAAACTTCGGTCAAGAATTGCCTAAGTCTAGTCTTAGCTCTAATTAAAGAATGTAGTTTTGCAATGTTTTCCTTAAGTCTTCAAAATCCTGTTTTTCTTCATATCTTTAAAGCCATTAAATGTCTTCATTATTATATTCCGTAGACTGATGTACCTTGAAAGCAACTTACGCATCAATTTGTAGACGGCGTGCTTCGTCTGAAGAATATCCTTCACCTGTTTGCTGAGATCTGATTGCAAGGCACTAGGCAATTGCACAAGCTGGCTAAGGATGGGTGGCTTTGCTTCCATATCGGCATCAACATCAGGTGGTTGCATTCCTGCCGTATTGGAGTTGGCAAGGCTAGTCGACCAGCGCCGGACGATCAGCAAGATCTGGTCTACCAAACTCTGAGAGGCCGAAGGTAGTTCACTTTGTATGTTTGTATATTTTGGTTGTTTTAAATGTTTGTGTGTTCCCAGGGGGAATTTGAGAATAATGGTCAGTGCAAGGACGGGCTATGACGAATATGCACAAAAGTAAATTATATAGGCAATCATTTTTCCCTAAAACATTATCCAAGTGTATATATACCAAAAGGTTGCTGCGATCTCACAGTGTAGTAAAACTCTTGAATGCTTAAACTGAAATAACCGATTGCCACACTTTGTCTTGAATGCCATTCCTTGTTAATGAGGAGATAGTAGACATTTGGCTGCATTATAATCCGTATCGATCGTGACTATAGTAATCATTATCCTTCAGCAATTTAGTCAGTTATCCAGAGTTATAGAGATATATTATTATCATT